TGAAAAGAAGAGATCCCACTTGTTGATTGTTTGTGCTAGTTCATGGGCAACTGAGGTTTTGTTCATAAAATCTTTTCCTACACCAGTGTCTTCAAGGGTTCTACCTAACCTCTGTTCCAGGCAATTCAGCATTTCTATATTAATATTTAGATCCTTAATCCATTTTGATTTTAGTTTAGTGCATGGTGAGAGAGCTGAAAAGATACTGATCAAATAAGAGCCTGATATTGGCACCTTGCTTAATATTGACTTATTTCAGCAATCAATATCCCATTAATTGCCAAGACAAAGTGTTGCTCAACTTGGTATGCCTTCTCCTCCCAATTTCAAAATATGGAAATCATTATTGTGCTGCAATTATGTTGCTAGATAATGGTTGGTTACATACAGTGGTTAACATACAAATGATCTGTTGGGCAAACAGGAATCATGACATTAGAAAATAGGGAAAGAGGGCTGGGGATTTAGCTCAGTGGTTCTGCCACCTGCCTCGCAAGCGCAAGGACCCAAGTTCGATCCCTGGTACCAAAAAACCAAACCAAACCAAACCAAACAAAACAGAAAATAGGGAAAGAAAACTAGCTACTATCCACAGTCTGGCAGCACTGTGACCATAACTGAGGTGGTGATGAAAACAGTTGCTAGGTGGATGGGGAGAGGCTGCTTACACATAAGGCCTTCTCAGGTATAAAGCAAGTTCATATGCTTTCTCGTTAAGTGTGCCTCCGTGGATACCTTTCTTTCCCATGACTATAACCAAAGCTGGAGTACACAAGGAAATAAAACAAAAGTGAACAGAATTATGTAAGGGGCGGGCAGAAGCAAAGACACCTTTTCCACTAACAGATGGGCACAAAGGAGTGCTAATAAAGTTTCCAGAATTAAGACTTAAGCTTACAGCTAGGAAAATTTAAGACTAATTTCCCCCTAGTACTTAACAGTCTGCCTAGCAGCTAGAACTCAGTCTCTCAAGTATTTTGCCATTGAATATGCCTTCTTATTCAACCTGGCTCCATACACCACTTCTTTTTCTACTACAAAGACCAAGACTGTAGGGCCAGAGATTTAGCTCAGTGGTTTTGCCACCTGCTGCGCAAGCGCAAGAACCAGAGTTCGATCCCCTAATCCACAAAAAAAAAAAAAAAAAAAAAAAGACTCTAACAGCTCTGCCAGTGGCAATAATGACAACATTGGATGCTGGCTCCTCACTTTGAGTCTGTCTGGATGTCTATTGTGCCGTCACCAGACTGTGTCTGATCACTGAGGACTTCTTTGCACCAAGTCAAACTGTTGGTAAAGAAACTGTCCCAGTCTTTTCCTAAAATAATGTTTCTTTTTATTGGCATAATTCTATGGAAGATACCCTGGCTATGCCTGCCCAGATATATTTGGTGTTGCAGTAGCTGACAATGGCGGTCTCCTGGCAGCAGCCATCACAATCAGGTTATCCATGTAGCTCCACAACTGGCCATCTGTGAGCCCTTTGCACTGCAGCAGGGACTTCAAGGAGCAGCAGGTGAGGGAGGTAGGAGAGTGAGGAGAAGGTGGCTCTGTGCAGGAAGCAACTGCCCACCTCCCCAAAGAGCTATGGAAAGAGGATGCAAGGTTAGCAGTGAAGGACAAGCCTGGCCAAGTCACTCAGCCAGCCCCAGCTCCAGGACTGATTAACTTGAGGCTGGAGTCTGTGGAGCACTGTGCTACCCAAGACGTGGCTTCTTAATGCCAATCTTCTCGGCAACAAAGCTCTCCTTAGCCAAATTTTTGCAGGTCCTTACATTCTGTGGACACAGAAAACTTTTCAACTAGGCCTTCTACTCCAGATTTTCAGTATAAATGTGGCTAAAAGTAACTGGCTGTACCCATCTACAGCTTGGACAGTGGGCTGCTTTGAAAATTCCTCCACCAAAGGGCTGGGGATTTAGCTCAGTGGTTTTGCCGCCTGCTGCACAAGTGCAAGGACCCGAGTTCGATCCCCGGTACCAAAAAA